TCTAACTAGTGTGGGGGAGTTGATATATCATGGTTTTTATGGTTTTTAACCATGATATAAGTCCTTTTTATTGAGTCTTTTTGGTCTTTTTAGAGTCCTAGAAGAGTCTTTGCACGTTATAGCATGTCTGGAGCATGATTGGAGATTTTGGAACCTTTTGGAGCATTTTGAGTGGAAGCCACGAAGTACCAAGCTCGAAGCAGAAAGTATCACATATGGTGACGCTCGTCACCACCTTTGGTGACGCTCGTCACCCATCAAGGAAGGAGCGTGGCTGTTTTATTAAAAGTATGAAGAAGATTTGCATAATTGGCCCAGAAGTTTCCTTTATTTACATGAAGACCCCAGATCGTGTTTAGCTATTATTTATTAGGTTTTTCAGCCACTGTTGGCGATTATCTTAGTTTTTGAGAATTCAGAGAGCTTAGAGAGAGATTATTCAGAGCTTTTTGGGGAGACAAATCCTGTACTCTTTTGAGAAGATTTCGAACCCCCTTTATTTCTTACTCTTTCTCTTAATGCTATTTTATTCAGTTATGTTTTGTGATCCCATAATCATGTTTGAGTAATCTGCTAGTTAAGTTAGGGTTTTTCAAGGGTTGATGAAAAAAGTGTAGAATCGTTATCTGTTAGGAATATCTCATGGTTTTTCATCTCTGCTTGCTTTAAAATCGAATTTCTGAGACACATCATCTAGGAATCTGAAAATCATAGGTTGTTAAATATATGTGAGAGCATTATTTATAACCTGAACTAGTATTTGATGAGCAAAGCAACTTAGTGCAAAGAGATTTGGCTTAGGAGTTTTGTAAACAATTGAATCTGATCATTCCTGCATGCTTAGGTTGTTAGAGTTTGCAAAGAGATTTGAAACTCTGTGATTCAGGCATAGATAACTTTTGCAATGAGAATTGATTATTTATGCATCTGTGATTCATGTTTAAAACGGTTCTTAATCATTCTTAATTTTCTGCATCATACATTCTTGGATTCAACCTGCGAACTACCCTGACTTAGCGCTTTTAGTCTTCTTGAACTTAGATTATCCTACAAAATCGTTTGCTTACTTTCATTCATTCATTCGCATTACATACATCATATCTTGGTTAGCTTAATCCGAATCTACATTCGATAGTGTAGTCTGCATTACTCTCTTGGGATTTCGATACCCGTTGTACTACAACTGCTTTTGCTGTGCACTTGCAGTAGTTTTATTTGGGTAAAACCTGACCCTATCAAGTTTTTTGGTATATATAATTCGGGATAAATGGGACTTCGGGAATTCCCGTTCCCGTCCCGTCCCGTCCCATTCCCAAATGGGAATCGATATGTGATACATTCATATATATCCCTTAACTTAGAGAATATATTGGTAATCTCCTAGAACTATCCAGAACCTTTCTAACACTCCCCCTCAAATGGGAGCATGTAAGTCACATACTCCCAACTTGGACAACAAATAGTCAAACGCTGAAGAACCCAATGCCTTCGTCATTATATCGGCCAACTGCTCAGTCGTGCGAACATGTTGTGTTGAAATCAGCTTGTCTTGAACAGCATCTCTCACACTATGGCAATCGGCTTTTATATGTTTGGTTCTTTCATGGAACACGGGATCACCCAACAAACTGCTATATGCAGAGCAGACTGACTGTCACAAAACATCTCCATTGGCGTATCATGAGACACTCCGGGATCACCCAACAAACGTTTCAGCCATTTTAGCTCACGAAGAGTAAACGCCATTGCTCTGTACTCCGCTTCTGCAGATGAATGTGAAACAGTGTTCTGTTTTTTAGTTTTCCACGAAACAGGGGCCCCAACAAAACAATGTATGACGACAGTGATCTCCGAGTAAGCAGACATGACGCCTAATCGGCATCACAAAACGCTCTCACACGCAGATCACTGTCTGCTCTTAACATGATTCCTTGACCAGGGGATCCCTTCAGATACCGCAGAACATGCACCACTGCATCCCAATGCACTTCTCTCAGCTCGTGCATCACTTGTGAAAGAACATGAACTGCATAGCTGAGCTCCGGCTGTGTGTTCGCAAGATACACTAGTCGCCTTACAAATCTTCGAAACCGAACAAGATTGTTGTAGAGTGGTCCTGTATCTGACAACAGCTTGTGATTCAGCTCTATTAGAGTTGCAACAGGCTTACAACCCAACAGTCCTGCTTCAGCAACAATGTCGAGTGTGTACTTTCTTTGTGTTAAGAACATGCCTTCTGGTCCACGTGTTATCTCAATTCCCAAGAAGTACTTCAGTTTTCCCAGATCTTTCATCTTAAAACACTCACTCAAATGTGCCTTGAACTTGGTCATCATCGGCAAATCATTTCCAGTAAGAACCAAGTAAACCACGTAGATAAAAACTCGCAAACTTTTACTCCCTTTGATGTTCGTGAACAGAGAGTAATCGGCATATGACTGTTTAAAACCACACTCTTTAAGCGCCTTTGTCAACTTCTCAAACCAGCATCTTGGAGCTTGCTTCAATCCATACAAGGATTTTCTTAAACGGCACACTTTATTTGGATCATTCGTACGGAATCCAGGAGGAAGTTTCATGTACACTTCTTCTTCTAAATCACTGTGAAGAAAGGCATTGCGAACATCCATTTAGTGTACTTCCCAATTCTTGGCAACTGCAACTTCGAGGAGAGTACGCACCGTGGACATCTTCGCAACAGGTGCAAAGGTCTCATCATAATCTTCTCCTTCCACCTGATGATTCCCAAGGCACACAAGTCGAGCTTTGTAGCGCTCAATGGTTCCATCTGCATTGAAATTTAGTTTGAAAATCCACTTACTTCCTATTGCTTTCTTCCTTTCTGGCAATGTTTCTATGTCCCACGTTCTTTGCTCTTCAAGCACATCAATTTCTTTTGTAACAGCATTGTTCCAACGAGGATCCAAAAAAGCTTCCTTATAGCTTCGCGGTTCCACAGCAGAGGTGATTGCTGCAAGAAACACTTGGTGCTTGGCAGAGAAGAGAGCGTCAGTTACATAACTATCAATAGGATACAAAGTCTTACCTTGGACTGCAGAAGATAACTGAATTGCGCTGGGAAGAATGAGACGTGAGAGGTGATTATCGAGAGGGCATCTTGTGTTGTAAAGCACATAATCTCTGAGCTTGGCGGGAAGTTCCTTTTCCCGGTGTCCTCGGCCAATATGCTGTTCTGGAACAGGAGATTCGTGATGAACAGCAGTTTCGACATTTTCATGAACAGCAGTTTCGACATCAACAACCTCTGTTTCAACAACTGGGTCTGGTATATCTATTTCACCAAGTTCTTCATTAAGACTTTGATCCACCTGAGAGCTCCTCCTGTCTTCTACGATTGGTGCGACAAGGTCAAAATCACACTGTGGCAATGTGATTACTGCAGGTGCAGGTGCTGAAGTAGGGAGGGCGTCGTTAGTGGCGTAAGGAAACGATTCTTCATGAAAGACCACGTCTATTGATACAAAAAAACGTTTGTTTCCAGATCATAAAGCTTCCATCCTTTTTAAAGGGATATCCCAGAAAAACGCACCGCCTGCTTCTTTCTCCAAATTTATCTTTGCCACGTGAAGCCTTGTGTGCAAAGCACAAACATCCGAATGTTCTGATTTCCTCATACGATGGCGCTTTACCAAACAGATGCTCATAAGGTGTTTGTCCGTTCAGCACATTCGAAGGAGTTCTGTTGATCACATGAGCTGCTGCAAGGACGCTCTCTCCCCAGAACTTTATTGGCATACTAGCTTGAAACATCAAGGAACGTGACATATTGAGAATGTGTCTATGTTTGCACTCCACTCTACCATTTTGTTCTGTAGTAGCTACACACGCAGTCTCGTGTACAATCCCATTCTCGTTAAAGTAGTTCGTCAAGCACATGAACTCTGTGCCATTGTCGCTGCGGATCCTTTTAACTAGCTTTCCAAATTGATGCTCTATGAGTTTGCAGAAATTAGGGAGAATGGTTTTGACCTCGCTTTTTACAAGAAGTAAATGTATCTAGATAGCTCGTGAATTGTCATCCACAATTGTGAGAAAGTAAATCGCACCGGATGAAGAGGGAACTCGATAGGGACCCATAGATCAACGTGAAGTAAATCAAAAGGAGCTAAAACTTTATTAATACTCTCGCTGAAAACCACGCGAGTTTGTTTTGACTTGAAACAAATTTCACATCCGCCGAACTTATCGGGAATGTTTTTAACACCAAAAACAAAAGGCAAAAGACCTAAAACACCAAACGAGGGATGTCCCAACCGACGATGCCACAGGGCTTGATCTTCTGCAGCATTAACTCTATGTCCTCGCCTGATCGTCACATCCTGATAAACATAAACACCATCCCGTTCTTCACTGGCTCCAATCAGCGTCTTCGTAAAATGGTCCTGCAAATAACACAGTGTATCAGTAAAGAGAGCAAAACAACCAGTTTGTTTAAGCAACTTAGCTACGGAGAGCATAGTGCAATTCAGATTGGGGACAAACAGAACTCTCTCAAATATACGCTAAATATACTCCACCCTTATCGTGATACATTCATATATATCCCTTAACTTAGAGAATATATTGGTAATCTCCTAGAACTATCCAGAACCTTTCTAACAGAATGCTTTGTTCATGGCAAAATAAATCTGTTGGATCAACACTCGATTTCACTCTCACCAATCTCTCAAAGTTGTTCTTGAAGTACTTCACTCTCCAACTCTTTCCTTCCTCGTACTTTGTCTTCTCCTTCCCTGTATACATTCCCGAATTAAGGTCCATGAAATTGACATAAGCTCCTCTTGGAGATTTCGAAACATAAGGAGTCATAAAATGGTAAACGCTCTCGACCCATTTCAGATACTTCTCTGTCTCCCTTTTGTCCTTATCTTCTTCTTGTCTCCAATAAGCCAAATACTGAATCTCATAAAGATTCCCTTCGCGATGAGGGAATGGTGTTTCGTGCTCTGCGATTTCACTCATTTTCCCACCAAATGGAGTTAAAAGGATCTTTGCAAGACGAGCCTCGGGCCTCGCCTCCACAGCTCATGAACTGCGGCCTCAGGTATCGGTTCTTGGACAATATCGTCTATACCCTTGAAAGATACCGATTCACAAGAACAGCAAGAGATTATCCATTAGGGGAATCGGCAAACCAGAGAATAGACTCGATCCAACTCATTTCCGTACAGTCTTGAACCTCAAGACCTAGTATTAGAAACTTCTCTTCCATCACGGCCAATAGATCGTTCACCGGACCAATATAATGTCCACTGAATGAAGCCTGCACCGCGTTATTTTTTTATCGCTCCAACGTTACCCTGATGTAAAGATCGTTAGGAATGATAACAGCAACATACTGCCACTTATTGATCATCGGAACAGCCTCACTCTCCGATGTTTTCTTGACTTTAAAGACCGTTACCATCGACGGAACATCGACCAATCTAATCTTTCACGACAATACTACAGCAAAGCTCGACCCGCCACCTCCACAAATCGCCCAAAAGTACTCCTCTCCCATTGCTTGTCGGTCAAGAATCCTCCCACGGGCATCAACCACAAGTGCATCGATCACGTTATCGGACGCTAAACTGTATTTTCTAAGCAAGGTAACGTAACCTCCACCGCTAAACTGTCCTCTGACGCCAACGGTTGGGTGAGTACCGGCCCGGAAAGCAAGAGATTTGGTAGTTTTACCAATCTCATAGTACGATTCTCCAGTCGTTGCTCCGCTTTGGACCCAACCGGTCCGGTTCTCAAGGTCTAATGTTATAGACCTAAGATTCCTTAAATCAATGACAACGAACGGTTTGGTGTACACAATATAAGATTGACTTTCATAGGCGCAGCCCTGGCCCAATGAATATTAAAGCCCTTGGGCAAAAAAAAATTTTGGGCCCTTTAATATCAAAAATCAAAATTTTGAGCTTTTCAATATCAAAAATCGAAATTTTGGACCTTTTAATATCAAAATCTAAATGTTTTAGGCCATTTTCTAATGATTTTGTCAATAAAAAAATAATTTAAATAAAAAATATATTTTATCAGATCAATATTTTTGAAAATGGGCTCTTAAATGTACAGTATTGTCTGAAATTTGGTCAGGGCCCCTGGGCGGACGCACCTCTGCCCACCCCCTTGGGCCAGGCCTGCATAGGCGTGACCACCGCTCCAAAACCTCAGATGGACACCGTACACCCGTGCGCATCTGATCACGGTTTGAACATCAGTGGCTTGAACCGGTGTGATGATTGAAACCGGTTTAGGTGTTTCGGGAACCGAGAATCTCGGATTTTGTATGGAACACGCTAAGATGGAGGAAAAAGATGAATCTTTGGAAGTGTGTATGATTTTGGTCTCGAAGGTGTTTTCGTTTATTTTACGAGAAAGACAACTAAGAAAGTCGTCGTGGTTAGTACGATTAGCTAAAACAAGAAGAGAAAGGTTCAAAAGAAAGAGTATGAGAGAAAGCAAAAAGCTTGAGAACTCTATTTCTAAGATTGGTGAAAGTAGAGAGGAGTGTGGAGATGGAATACTGATTTATAGATAAAAAGTAGATAAAAATCCCAACTTGTAAAAAAAACTAGACGTACGATAATTTCAAAATTTGTGGAAGGGGCTATTATACTTCAAAATACGATAATTTCATAAAACATCAAGTTTATGAGAAATTTGTCTGCGCCGAGTTGAGAAAATAAAATAAAAATGTGCTCGAGATTACTATATGTAATGAAAACGTAAGTTTGAATGTTGATTAATTACTATTGTAGAATACTTGAAATCATCCCCGGTACTGATAAATTATGGACTACAAGTCCAAAAAAACAAGACCTACAGCTGAGTACTGGTATTCGAACCAATCACTTCTTTGAATCTACTAAGACCCATATATGTAGAGATATGAGATTGATTTTGTACAATTGGCCAAAAATATTTTTAAAAAATTGAAGGATGGAATGGGGGAAAAAGCCAATTTCAACCCAAGCTATTTATGTCGTGCTATTTCCTACTTGAACTTATACACAATGCAATTTCCTATCAGAACCCCATATAAAATTCAAATAACCTACCCCAGTTATCTATTTTGTGCCAAAATCCATATTGACTATATTTATGTTAGTTGATTGTTAACGCCTGCTGACTCGGATGGACGGAGATGCCAACATGTCAACGAGGTTGGCGGGAAAAAGGCCAATTTCAACCCAAACTGAACATGTCGTACACTTTTCTACCTGAACTTATACACAATGCGTTTTCCTACCCATACTCCATATAAATTTCAAATTATTTACCCCAACTATCTATTTCGTGCCAAAATCCATATTGACCATAACAATGTTAGTCAAACGTTACTACAGCTGAGTTACATGACACGTGAGCAATAACGTTTACTTGATTAATCCTGGATCGAAATAGTCCAACTAATGGGAGAAGCTTCATCAAAGTGTTTACCTAAAAAAATACCAAACTAGCCACATTACTATTATAATCCATTAGATACTTGAGAAAAAAAACAAAAACATAGAGTTATGGTATTGAATCACGTGACACGTAAACAACGACATTTGCAATTATGAAAAACTAGAATTTTATCACATTAGTCAAAAACATACATAATATTCGAAACATAGAAATAACATAGAAATCTTACAAACACTTAGTCTTGAACATGAGAATCTTACAACTACCATTAATCGATCAAACGTCGTTGCTTATTGCTTATGTGTCACGTGACTTGGCCGGAGTTAGTGCTTGACTAATGCTGTTATGGTCAATATGGATTTGGACACGAAATAGAATGTTGGGGTAGGTAATTTTAATTTTATATGCGGTTCGAGTAGGAAAACGCACTGTGTATAAGTTCAGGTAGGAAAGAGCACGACATGTTTAGTTTGGGTTGAAATTGGCTCTTTTCTCGCCAAACTTTATTGACATTCTGGCATCTCCGTCTATCCGAGTCAGCAGATGTTAGCGGTCAACTAACGGGAATATGATTAATATTGATTTTGGTACAAAACAGATAGTTGGAGCATATAATTTGAATTTTATATGGGATTCAGATAGAAAAATGCACTGTGTATAAATTTAAGTAGGAAAGAACACGACAAAAATAATTTGGGTTAAAATTGGCTCTTTTCCCGGATGGAATCACACATGCTTCTTTCGCTTCTAGCCAAAGGCCGTCCATGCAAAGGATAAGGCAATGGTAATGGGGCGAAATAATTGCAGATGGATAATGCACGCTTTTGAATCACAATTATTAAGCATTCATTGGCTTTGATTCGTAGCCGGTTATCAATTAGACAGACCGAATAACGAATACTTTTAGATCAAATACTAGATGAAACTTAATTAGGGTTATAAGTTTATACCGTCCAAAAATTAGGGTTATTATTATTCTAACAAAGACGCTTTAGATATATTTTTATATTGTTAAAAATCTTAGATATATTTTTAATGTAATTTGTTGGAAAAAAAAAATTCATTGATGAAATGATAAGAAACTAAAGTCAATTCTCATATTTACTATAAAAACAAAATTTTAGGTCAAAAATTATAAAATCACTAAAAATATTTTAACTCTACCATTTTTTATTTATTTTTTCAGTTTTGCTTTTAAGAAAGTCGTCATTATATTTTGGAAAGAAATTCCTAAATCAAAATTTTTGCTCAACTATTTAGAAAGGACTTCATAGATATGTATAAATGTTTCCAAAATGTATTGTTCAAGATATATATTAAATGTAGTTGTCTAAACTCTGGAAGCCTTTACAAAATATGGATAACTATTTTCTAAAATTTTATATGTAACAGAATCAGTATAATTTTGATTAGTGGATCACAAAATAACCAAAATATTATTTAATCTTAATTATTATTTGAGAAGCATGTTAAATGAAAAAAATCTGATGTGTCATCACCTTAGCAAACGTTAGTGTAAATTAATAGTAATACAAAAATGTGAAATGACAAATTTTCCTAAAATAAACGAAAGGTTTTGATTAGTTGAATAATAATTAAATAAATTATAAAAATAGAATATAAATATACTAGATTATAACTGTTTGAGAGCAAATTCCAAAATGCCACATGAAAAGTTAATGATTCGTCCGGAAGTGGAGTTGAACCTCTAAGTTTTGTCCTCTGCTATGAGTTAGAAAACATGTCTACTTGTTTTACGATAAATCTACAACCAATGATTTATTATTGGGTTTTCTACAAATAAACACTCCAAATAATTTTGTTTTTGCAACTCTACCCTCAATTTTCTAAAAATGCAAGTCAACATTTTATGTTTTGGTCAATCCACTATATAACATTTCTTTATATCGATGATGTGGCAAAAGTGAATGTCGTTTAAAAATATAACGGATTATGAAACGTATCGTTTTAAAACTTGAAAAACGACAAGTAGTTAAAAAAAAATATCATTTTGAAACAAAATAAACGCCACAAAGTTTAGTTCTTCAACCATAAATCGATTTGGGGAAAATGGGAAAATTTCAGAAGTTATAATTTCTGGGAAAGTTTTGTGAGGAGCAGAGGTTTCGTGATGATGGCTTCATGAGGTTAGATTAAATGGGGTATTGGGTTGGTGCCGTGATGGTTTATCGATTCATATGTATTTGTGTTTGATGGAGTTATGTTCTTCACGTATCTTGATCGTGAAATATCAGGATTTTGATTTAGGATTTACTTAGCTCTAGAGGATTTAATTGTTTAATTGGAGAAGTTAGAAGGGTTCTATTGAAGTAACAAAAAGTCAATTAGAGCTATGGAGAAAGAAAATGGCGTCGTTCCTTAGGATAGGAGAGGTTTTACCCGACATGGAGATTGACAGGCTTGTAGTGATGGGTTAATAAAAAACCTGTTTTGTTGTAGATAGCTTTATAAATGGAAAATTGTTCATCTTCAACAAGAAAGAGAAGCGATTAGAGAAGCTTTGTGTGTGTTGTAGTAGTAGAGATTGTGGACGTTCCAATAGTTTAGGTTACGAAGCTTTTACTTTAGCATACAAAGGTTTCATCTTCGTTATGTAATTGGTTTATTATACATCCAAATCCAATAATAGATGAGAGGATCGCTTTCATGGTGGTAGTTTTACTGGGAATAGTAGGAGAAGAAGATGCAGAGAAACCTTAATTTTCTATTGGTCCATAAATGTTCGACCAAAACAGGGTCCCACCAAAACAAGTATTTGTTGTTTTTTTGCCAAGCATGTGGAGTTTGTAACACGTGTGCTATAAAAAAACTACTCCTTCCGTTTCAAAATAAGTTTCAAAATAAGTGTTGTTTTAAAGTTTTATTTTTGTTTCACAAAAAGTGTCGTTTTGTATTTTCAATACAATTTTTTAAACAAAAATCTTGTTTTAACTATGTTATATTAATGTATTAATTAGAGAGAGAATGTTATTTTGTGTATGAATAAAGGGTAAAACATAATGTTTAATGCTTATCTTAATTTGTGTGAAAAGTATCAAAATAACACTTATTTTGGAACAGAAGGAATACAAAATTTTTAATTTTGAAAGTTATTCCAAAACGATGCGTTTTAAAATCCGTAACCAATATAACATCAGTTAAAGGCAAGGACTATTCATACCAAAAAAAAAAAGGCAAGGACTATATAGCGGGTTGATTGGCATTTTTAGAGAGTTGAGGGTAGAGTTGCAAAACAAAACTATTTAAAAGGTTTATTTGCAGAAAACCTTTTATTATTTTGAATACTGCAAATAATTTTACCGTGATATTCTCAAAAATCTAAAAATTTTACATTTATTTGAAACATAAATATTGATTGCAAACACTGATTATAAACATTAGTCTATCCAACTCTAAGATTTTACAAAAAAAACCTTGATATCACTTAACAAATAAGTGTACTTATTCTGTTTTACAGAATTACTAGGAGTTTGGCCCGCACGCATGTGCATGCATAAATAATTTAAAAAAATTAATTACATAAATATAATATTTAAATCGTTATAAATATTTTATTTTTTTGTAATATATAAAAAATTAGGTACGACGATTAAATTATAGGACCTGATAGCAAAATATATAATTTAAACTAAACATTCCATTATAACAAAATGCCCATTTTATTATGTTAAAGGGCTAAATGGGTCAGCCCGCGGATAACTGGTTAAGCGGGTTACCTGTTGCGGATTTGCGGATCAGACGTACATACCTGCAAATTTCATCATCTTCTTCGTCTTCAATTAATCTTCCTCAATTTATTCAGTTATTTAGCCTCTAAATTCTCGAAGACTTCTTTGTATAAAATAAATATTTGAACTAAAATAAATTAAACACAAAAAATTATTTGAACTTAAATATATTCCAACTTCTCTTTGTATATTTGTTTAGCTTCTGTTTCGTGTGGACAACAAAAATGGACTCTTTAGTTAAACATTGTTAGATTAATGTTACTTTAGATTATATAGTCGGTGCATATGATGAAGACAATTCTCATAATTTTTATACAATTTGATGATACAATTAATGTTGTTTTGGATTATACTGCAGAAAGACAATCTCAAGAAGACTGTTAAAAGTAGATAATCATACTTCCGTTAACAAAATATGGTATACTCTAATTTCTCTTTGTATATTTGTTTAGCTTTTGTTTCGTGTAAACAACAAAAATGAGTTCTTCAGTTAAACATTGTTATATTAATGTTACTTTAGATTATATAGTCGGTGTATGTGATGAAGATATAATTTTTATACAATTTAACGTGTACAAATATGTGCATGTAATAAAAAATATAACATATGTTTTGTGCATGTGATAAAAAACGACGGTTTACAATTTATATTAATAATTAAATATTTTATACTTTTTAGTTTTCATAAAATAATTATTTGAACTAAAATAAATTAAA